TCAAGACCAAACTTGGCACACACAGCCCCCATGACCCACCCTACATCCCGGTGCTGTTTGAAGGATGGACGATGGATGATGGGACTTGCAGTACGTTCACTCACTTCCTGAAACCATAGCGACACTCATTCAAAAACCAATAAAGACCAAACTTGGAACATAGAGCCCCCATGGCCAACTCAACATTCTGGTGAGGTTTGGGGGAGTACAGACTATGGATGATGGGACTTCAAGTACCTCCACTCACTTCCCAAGACCTCTGCAACACTCATCTAATGACTAATAAAGACCAAACATGGCACACAGAGTCACCATGACCAACTCTCCATCCTGGAGCAGTTTGGAGGGGGATGGACCACAGATGATGGGACTCACAGTATCTTCACTAACTTCCTGAGACAACTGCGAGTGATATAAATAACTGATAAAGACCAACCTTGATACATAATTCCTTTCTCAAATAACCCGGGCAGCGCCGGGTCCCCAAGCTAGTATACAAATAAAAGGACAGCTTAAAATTGGGAGCTGAAAGAGGGGTTCAAATGTTTCTCGTGATATAAATGGAAAAGGAATACCATTATCTCCACACATTTGAGGTTTTGACTTTTGTGGATTTGATTATCCACAGATTTGATCTCTGTAGGAATCTCCAGGTCCTCTTGTGCAACTCTAGGCTCAATATCCTTGAGTTATTAATGTTGGGGATTTCTAGGGAATATCTAGATCCCTTAATGTGATAATGTGGTCAACTTTCAGCAGAGGATAGCCATAGAGTCATGCTGGAAGACCTAGACATTCCTAGAGAGGTGTTCTCTTAGTTTAGTGGTTCTCAACCTGTGGGTCCCCAGTTGTTTTGGCCTACAACTCCCAGAAATTCCTAATAGTTCAGAGAGATAACCAGGTATATCAGTGTAAAAGCTGAGAAGCCTGCCTTGCATGAATATTAGTGGATATTATCACTAAGGAGAAGACTTGACTCAAGCAAGTTTTTAACTTTTCTCAGGAAAATCATACTTTACAAAAGGTTACAAACTCTAACAAGGTCGTGTCTTTCCAAAAGGTTATGATTATTCCAAATAGTGTGAATGCCAATTAGTCACCAAAAAGGGTCATGCTTCCAAAAGCCTGTGGAAATTCCCGTTTTTCCCAATATCTGCTGTATATATCAGACAACTTATAACAGATGTATCCTCACAATCTATCTTCTTACAAACACTTGAATATAATTTCTGTCAGTTTGAAGCAATGCTGGGTAAAACAGATCTGGAAGCTTGCCTTCAAAAATGCTGTCCGGTCGTGCGAAGTACACATATTCAAAAATACAGAATGCAGCTGGGTCTCCTGCTGGCCTTGGCACAACATCCAGTGTCTGTACTTCGTTTCTAGATATCTTCACAATCTCTCCAGGCATGACTTCCCGGTAATACCTTTAAAAATATGGTTGCACAGGTGAAATAGCTTAATTAGTATTTTAAAGAAGATCGCTAGTCATTAAACACTGCTGCAGTTGCTATCTCCAATCATTTACATAGCCATCAGTTTGCTTAAAATTGGGAGTTTAGTCATTGATAGAATATGCCTCTTCAGATCACTACTGTCTTTAAATGAAATATTACCGTATCACAAAATGTACTAACAACATCCAGGTTCATTTTTAATTCTGGGTTGTTGCAGGTTTTTCAGGCTATATGGTCATGTTCTAGAAGCATTCTCTCCTGATGTTCTGCCTGCATCTATGGCAGGCATCCTGAGAGGTTGTGAGGTCTGACAACCTCTGAGAATGCCTGCCACAGATGCAGGCAAAACTTCAGTAGAGAATGCTTCTAGTACATGGCCATATAGCCCAAAAAACCAACAACAACCGAGTGATTCCAGCCATGAAAGCCTTCAACAACTCATTTTTAATTCTTTTTAAATGAACAAACTTACTCTGCACCAATAGATAAAAAGCTGCAGGATTCTGAAGACACGACCCATCCTTCAGTTTCAGCGTATTTTTTCCCTGGGAAGGAAAGTAGCATAGTAATAAGAACATGTCTGCCGTTCTTGAAATTTATTTTTGTAAACAGATGATACACTCAAAGCAATTTGCATCAGTGTTCATCATCCACATCCAGTACAAAGTCAGGATATACTGACATTACTGGCAAAACATCCCACCTGAATGATTATAATGATCCAGCTGTGAAGCCATTCCACAATTTATGCAACAATTTTGTTTGATTTAGCTACACTGGTCGTTCCTTTTGCAAGCAGAAGAAGTGCAAAATTCTGACTCACATTCCTAAATAGGTAATAGACTGGCCGGTGACCAAATCAGGGCTCTTCTGCATGTCTGCTTAGGAAAGTGAATTTGCCCTTCAGTTTTCAGGTGCTGAGGAATATTTTGTGTGTAACAGCAAGGCCGGCACAGCAAATCATATCTGCTATAGAAAGGATTAAAGTGCTCCAAGATAACATCAGAGGAAAGTGGCTTATCTTTATCCAACCTTGGTGCTCTCTAAATATTTCAGACTGCAGGTTTCCATGCTAGCTGCAGCATCAATATGAGTGCACTGCATTAGACTGAAACTCATAATAAGCACATATTTACTGTAACTACAATCTAGCTTTCTCCTGCACTGCTTGCTTTCTCTGATTATATACTTTTCCCCTTTTTTCTGCCTCCTAATGTACTTTGGGAGAAAGATGGAAAGGAATGGTAATCCATTCAACCAACCTATGTCAATAAGTGGATTATGTAATTCCCGGTTAGCATGGAAGAGTTACATAGTAATTCAAAATTCAGAGTTTAAAATTAAAAGAGCAGTAATGCTAATGAATGTAGTTTTCATTACAAGAACTCATAGAAGTTGTACTTTGGGTCCCATATATTGGAAGAAAAGCAGAATATAAACATAGTAATACCTTTTTTATTCAGGTCTCCTACTGGAACCAGACGGCCAATGCAGAGTGGTCGGTTCCCATAGGGGTCGCGTACTGCATAGATGATATCTTTATGCATCATTAAAATTGAGTAGGAAGTTGGCGTTTCATTCATCAGATTTTTGATCCTGAAACAGGAAGGAACTCGATATATCATTTTTATTTATGATCAAAAAATTAATAGTAATTTTGCCCAGCATCTAGTTTGAGTGCTTTCCCTTAAGTCAGGGGTCCTCAAACTAAGGCCCAAGGGCCGGATATGGCTCTCCAAGGTCATTTACCCGGTCCTCGCTCAGGGTCAACCTAAGTCTAAAACGACTTGAAAGCACACAACGATGACGACAACAACAACAACAACAACAACAACAACAACAACAACCTTATCTCATCAGCCAAAAGCAGGCCCACACTTCCCATTGAAATACTAATAAATTTATATTTGTTAAAATTGTTCATCATTTTAATTTTTGTATTGTTTTAAAGTGTTTTTGCACTACAAATAAGATATGTGCAGTGTTCATAGGAATTCATTCATTTTTTTCAAATTATAATCCGGCCCTCCAACAATTTGAAGGACTGTGACCTGGCCCTCTGTGTAAAAAGTTTGAGGACCCCTGTCTTAAGTTATGTACTTTACCTTGCTACCCAATCTGGTGTATCATCTTGCTCTAACGGAGGGGTGAATGCCAGCAGCTGAGTGATTAGTTCACTGTCAGAACTGGTGGAGAGTCCCACCCCATGGCGCATTAGCTGTCAAACAAAGGAAACAAAATACATTGTGTATTAGTGTTAAAATGCAGCTATATATCAATAATACACCCACAATCCCCAAGTATGTACAATGCATCCTTGGTATCCTCCAGGGTTTGGTTCGGGGACCCCTCATGGATACAAAATCTGGAATGCCTGAGTTTCATTATATACAATAAAATCCCCCGGTGGCGCAATGGGTTAAACCCTTGTGCCAGCAGGACTGCTGACCGAAAGGTCGATGGTTCGAATCCGGGGAGCGGGATGAGCTCCTGTCTGTCAGCTCTAGCTTCCCATGTGGGGACATGAGAGAAGCCTTCCACAGGATGGTAAAACATCCGGGCGTTCCTTGCAGATGGCCAATTTTCTCACACCAGAAACAAATTGCAGTTTTTCAAATCATTCAAACAAATTATAAACATAATTTTGTATTGGTGTTAAATACAAAATTTACTATCTTATGATAGTAAAACAGCAAAATAAAGTTTTGCTTTTTGGATATTTGTGGAGAGTATTTTCAAGCCATGAATGGTGGAATTCTGTGGAAGCAAAATTATGAATATGGGGGGCAAACTGTACATACCAATGGGCTTGAGCAGTATTTCTCAAACTGTGCTCCGTGGAGCCCTTAGTGTGGTGTGATCTGAGTATTGACCCAGGGTTTGAATCTGCACTGAATGATGTTAGGCACATATGCAATGCGAGACAGAGATGAGAGATATGATAGAGGTACATCAGTCTTGGTCAAATATGCCTCTATCATATCTTTTCTCACTGCAGTCAACTGCACATACAGGTTGCCTACCTCTGGCCTCCAAAACATTAAACTCTACCAGAAACACTATAGGTTATGAATGATTGTCATCACTAAAATTCATTGTTTTGTTTTTTCAAGAAAAAAAATTAAGAAAAAGAGATGGGACAATACTTTTTCCACAAGGCTTTGCATAGAATAAAACACAAGATGGCAATGTGTATTGGACTGCCATTCCCCCTTACATTCAGCAGCAAATTCTGAGAAAGCTACTCATTTTGATACATTCCTCACATTTTTAGCATTCAATAAAATACTAACTATGCCAAGGATAGGACAAATTTGCTATCTCCGTCTGTTCCCTCATGCTTTGGATGATTGCCTACCTTTCTCCTCAGTCGCCCAGCATTTGTCAGCTCTCCATTGTGAGCTACGGCAATCTTCCCATGCAGTGTTTCCACCACAAATGGTTGACAATTATCCAAGACAGAGACTCCGGAGGTTGAGTATCTTGTGTGCCCAATCCCAAGATTGGAAACATACAGCTTCTTCAGGCTATCTTCACTGAAAACATGATTAACCAGACCCATTCCCTGAAAAAAAGAAGAAGAAAATTGTGATATGCTCTTAAATGCAGTTTCCAGGGCTACCTAAAATAGTCCAGGACACTAAAATTGGTGCTCTTATACACCCAGACAAGATACATTCCCCTTAACTTTCTTTTTTATGGACAAAGTATGCATCTATTTTGTTCAACCTGGTTTTTTTTTCTATGTCATCTTTCCTAGATACAACTTTCATTGTACAATAAATGCATTTAACCAACTATTGGGAAGTTTACAAAGTTTTCCCCTTTTGAGTAGCTCTTTTCTTGCATGGAAAAATCAGTTGTGATTATTTAGTTGCTGAGAAAACACAATGCCTCCCATGTAGACAGATGCTCAGCATCATACACCTTGAAAATGCCATACACATCTATTCCATAGAAACAGCTTTACATAAAGTATGTAAATCCTGTCAATAATTTTTAAATAATTCTCAGCAAAATGGGTTCCTGATGGGAACACGCCAGTAGAGTTATCAAATGTTCTGACACATCTATATATCCTACAAAAGTAAACAAAACATTTGTGCCACAGGTTTAGGTAAAATCATGTCACTTACCTACTACCACCACTTCTTCGTAAGCACAAAAGAAGGTAGAGCAAACATGAAGTTCATTTCATAATATGCCTTTTCTTTTTCTGTCCCATATATTCTGGTCAGTCATATTTTCATATCATACAAAAACAACAGAATGACCCACTAATAATACAATTTCATACTTGAAGATAGGGAAGCGATAACATGAGAAAAACTATTCTTACGTTGTTTGATGTAGTTTTCAAAGGAGAATATTCAGAGAGAATACCTCCTGGATAGCGTCATTGAGTAAAAGGTAAAGGTTCCCCCTTGACATTAAGTCTAGTCGTGTCCAACTCTGGGGGGTGGTGCTCATCTCCATTTCTAAGCCGAAGAGCTGGCGTTGTCCGAAGACACCAAGGTCATGTGGCCAGCATGACTTCATGGAGTGCCGTTACGTTCCTGTCAAGGCGGTACCCTACTGATCTATTCAAACTTGCATGTTTTCGAACACCTAGGTTGGCAGAAGCTGGGGCTGACAATGGGAGCTCACCCATCCCACGGATTCGAACCGTCAACCTTTTGGTCAGCAAGTTCAGCAGCTCAGCAGTTTAACCCATTGCACCACCACAGCCCCTATGCCTTATTAAGACCTAGAAGTATATCATGATAAATAAAATTGCATATACCTCTAAATGTCTGTGAAATGATGATATATTTATTTCTTGGTCTTTTAAAAAAGAGTTCTGATATAGAAGTTAAAATACTAAAAGGCAAAAACCATGGCATTAAAAATTCCAGAGCAAAGTATGACCTCTGTCTACAGGAGAAAAGTATTCAAATGATTCCCACAGAGACCTGCTTAAATGGGTACTTTGTGAAATTACATTATCTCAGATTTAAATCAGGAGGAAGTATTTTCCTTATTGGAAGAAACAGATTTTTTTAACTGGCTCCCTTCTTTTAAAATGTTGAACATGCCACCATTCTTGCACCCATTTGGCTTATACTCTGCTCCTTTTTCCTAGGATATTTCAAATTCACCTACAAGGCAACTAGTATTTTGTTCCTGTACATTGGTAAAGTACTGCTCAGAAGTTGTAGTTGGAAAGTAACTTTTGGAGGAAGGAGCACATGTAGCAAATCAGTCACCCAAATATGCTTATAGGAGATAAAACACACATATCTGCACTACTGATGGGTGACACTGGATAGCTTGGGGGAGATGAAACTCCAGAAAAACACAAAAACTGAAGTCTCTCTTTATGCTTTTCTTGTATGGGTAAAGAAAGGAGGATATATTATAACATAATGGTTAGCCATGGGGAAATAATTCTTGCCGCATGTTTGTGTCATGCTAAGTTTTCTGATGCATCAGGTCAACAGCAATAAACAACCAGGTGACTTCAACTATGGGTACTATGAGTCTGATCTGCAGAAGTTTGTCATAACAGAGAAAAGTGAATTGAAATAGTTGCCAATTTTACTTCATCCACTGCATCTTCTCTGTTCTCCAAAACAGCAAGCTTGATGTATTTTATTTTGCCATGCATTTAGAAGAAATAATGAAGATACAATTCTGCTCAAAAGAAGTATTTGTGGTGATATGTTTCAGAATGATTTTGTTTTTCTTATTCCTGGTGCAGAAAGATTATCAAATTCAAAGTACAGCTTCCTGATATTACTTGTAACAGACTAGTTTGGCATTCTGACTCGGACTGAGGAAACTCAAAATTGTGCTTTACTCTCTAGTTTCCATCAGGTTTATTCCAGTAGGTACAGATGCGAAGTTACATAACTAAGAAGCTTTCCATGTTACCTTGTGCATTTTGAATGAATGCGCTGACTCTCCATCGCTTGTCACAATTCCAGCACTCTCTTGGCCCCTTTGGGAAAAGGAAAAAGCAGCTTAATGCAACAAAACTACATCTTGCATACAAACGATAACATTATTCTTAGGGCATGAACTTGTATGTAGGCAAAACAGACCCATTCGTGCAAATTTCAATGGGTTTCAGGGCATCCCAAGGATTTGCAGATTTTTCTTTCTTTTAAACTTGTATCAGTTCAGTTTAACAAGGAGTGACAGAATGAGAGAAACTGTAAGTGGAAGGAAGCCGCTGGTCACATAACACAGTCATCTAAATTAGAATATTGAATAGGAGGTTGTTGCAGATGCCACTTGTAGTTCCACATTAGGGGCATAACACAAGGGTGACAGGTTGTGTGGCTCCTATGCTGCCTGCTCCCTATGAATAATTCTCCTCTTGGCACCTGGTACTGCTGCTTCTCTGGTACTAATGGTGACATGAAACAACATGGCTCATCCGAGGGAGAGAGAAGTGCTAACCTTCCCTTTCACAGTGAATTTGAAATCATCTTGCTCAGAATCCACAGGACTGGGGAGGTTTAAAGCCTTTCCACTTTTGGGTGTGCTCATCTGAATGCCATACACCCCTTGCTTTTTGGGCTAAAAAGATTATTTACTCCCGCTATACAAGATCACAATGGGTTCATCATCCCAGTGATATTACTAGGATTGGTGTCATCGAATGCAGCAACTCAGGGCCCTTCCACACAGTCATGGGAATGTGTCCAGAGGAAGGTGACTAAATGATCAAGAGTCTGGAGAACAAGCACTATGAGGAGTGGGTTAAAGAGCTGGGCATGTTTAGCCTGAAGAAGAGAAGGCTGAGAGGAGACATAATAGCCATGTATAAATATGTGAGAGGAAGCCATAGGGAGGAGGGAGGGAGTGAACTTGTTTTCTCCTGCCCAGGAGACTAGGACATGGAATAATGGCTTCAAACTACTAGAAAGGAGACTCCATCTGAACATTAGGAAGAACTTTCTGACTGTGAGAGCCATTCAGCAGTGGAACTCTCTGCCCCAGAGTGTGATGGAGGCTCCTTCTTTGGAATACCAAGGCAGAAAATCCCACCATATCTGCTTTGAACTGGATTATCTGAGTCCACACTGCCATATATTCCAGTTCAAAGCAGATATGGTGGGATTTTCTGCCTTGATATTCTGGGTTATACAGCTGTATGGAAGGGCACCCAAGTCCACACATCTCTATATCCCAGAATACCAAGGCAGAAAATCCCACCATATCTCCTTTGAGCTGGGTTATCTGAGGCAAGGGAGGCTACACCACACTTCCTGTTCTCGCATGAAGCCCTCGCCGCTTCCATTGCTTGCCAGGCCCAACTGGCAGCGTGAAGCAATTGAGGGGATTGGGCCTTGCAAGCGGCGAGGGGCTTTGCGCGAGGCCAGGCTGCACAGTGCAGCCTCCCTTGCCCGGCTTGCATGATGGGCAGCGTGAGGTAGGTAAGTTGCACCGCGTGGTCTAGCCTCGTGCAAAGCCCCTCGCTGCTTGCAAGGCCCAATCCCCTCACTTGACTCGCGCTGCCAGTRGGGCCTGGCAAGCAATGGAAGCGGCGAGGGCTTCGTGTGACTGGCAGCATGAGGCAAATGAGGGGTTTGGGCCTTGTGAGGGGCTTTGCGCAAGGCCAGGCTGCGCAGTGCAGCCTCCCTTGCCCGGCTCACACGATGGTGCGGCCCTCCAATGGTCTGAGGGACAGTAATCTGGCCCCCTGTTGAAAAAGTTTGAGGACCCCTGGTTTAAGGCATTGAAAAATTGCCATATGTAAGCCGCCTTGAATTTCCCCCCACTTGGGGTAGAGAAAGACAGGGTATAAATAGGGTAAATAAATAAATAAAATGAGATTTTATTCAACTCTATATAAAAGGGCCTCATAGTGTCACTCCTATGGACCTCCTCCCTCACAAGACCATGCCACAATATTTTATTAGCTAAAATACCAGAAAAAATTGACATGAAACCAACTGTGTGTGCTTGTAGCAAAAGTTGATGAAACAACAGGATTCAAAGCATCATTGTTATTGGGAAATAATTAAAGCTCTGACCAGAGCATATGAACATTAGAAAGTTTAAAAAGTAAATTAGTATAAAGTTTTAGCCTTGTAAGTATAGTTTACATACATACGTTTTGGTCTCACTATCTCTGATGGTGTCACCCCCTCCGGGTCACACTTCCTGCATCCTAGTGACACCAATGCCCCAGCCTCGGCAATCTTGCCCTGAGCAGCTCAGTCAGGGATTTTTACTGTGAAAAAGGTCTAGGAAATTATATATATATATCTTTTCCCTCCTGAAATTTCTTCCTCAGTCCTAGTCAGACACAGCCCTATAACCCAGAATATCAAGGCAGAAAATCCCACAATATATGCTTTGAACTGGGTTATCTGGGTCCACACTGCCATATATTCCAGTTCAAAGCAGATAATGTGGGATTGTATTCAGCTGTGTGGAACGGGCCTTAAGTGCACCTACAAGGCTAGGGATCAAGGTAGTAAAGCTACTCTACTGCCTTGCTGGAGTCTTCATCTGATCTTACACATTTGCTTCTGTACTAAGGAAAAGAAAAAGAATTGATGTAACGGAAAATACTACACATTAAAAGAAACATTCTGACCCTGAGGCACACTGGTTTTCAAACACTATTTTCCTTTACCAGCCAGGGATCTCTTCAAATAAAAACTCAATGGCCCTTAAGCTCACAGTGGTACCATGGCTACAGGGGGAAAAGAGAAGATAATTGAGGCTACCACCTTTCAAATCTCCCATACTGAGAGATGAAACCTGCTCTATGGTTAGTTTAATCTCCCAAGAACTCAGTTGGAATATAACATCTTTGTACTGTTTCTGCTCTTGCCCCAAATCCATCAGTACCCTCAATGAGAGAAGCAAAAGTGATGAGTAAGGAATATATCAGGGGTTCTCAAGCTAAGGCCCGGGGGCCAAATACTGCCCTCCAAAGTCATTTACCCAGTCCTCACTCAGGGTCAACTTAAGTCTGAAATGACTTGAAAGCACACAACGACAATAACAACAACAACAACAATAACCTTATCTCATTAGCCAAAAGCAGGCCCACACTTCCCATTGAAATACTAATAATTTTATATTTGTTAAATTTGTTCATTTTAATTATTGTATTGTTTTAAAGTGTTTTTTGCACTACAAATAAGATATGTGCAGTGTGCATAGGAATTCATTCACTTTTTTTTGCAAATTATAATCTGGCCCTCCAACAGTTTGAGGGATTGTGACCTGGCCCTCTGTTTAAAAAGTTTGAGGACCCCTGGAATATATAACTGAATGGTAGTTCACATCATCTCCTTGGGTACGATAGTATTAGGAACTTATGTCTACACTGATTATATTATCTCTAAAAGATGAAACTTAATAGATTCAGCAGTACCTCTTCCAAGGACACTGTAATCATTTCAAAGGCAGCTTTGTATTTATTTCTCTGTTGAATTCACTTTATTACATGCTATCACAGCAGCACCATCTCCTCTACACATCCTCATAGTTCAATGTCTCTTTCCTGCAGATTTCCTTGAAGCCGATACTGGACTCCCCACTGAGTGCCATAAATGATAAGGCTGCTACTGCATCTTGAAGGGCTCTCATATCTGTGCAGTTAGTGCTAAAAGCCCAATTGTGTCCATTGTTAGGTTTCACTGAACTCTTTGCGGTGCCTGGCAACACCCATTCCCAGTTCTGTTGGTATGCATATAAAACCTTCCTGTATAATTGAAAGTGGAGAAAATTTTGCCTCATTGAGCAGAACCCAAATCTCGTTCCACAAGCCATTGTGGTGGAGGAAGGCTTTTGAAGACATTAATTGATGTCTTAATAGGAGCCCCTAGGGTTAAATGGGTTAAAACAGTGGTTCTCAACCTGTGGATCCCCAGATGTTTTTGGCCTACAACTCCCAGAAATCCCAGCCAGTTTACCAGCTGTTAGGATTTTTGGGAGTTGAAGGCCAAAAACATCTGGGGACCCCAGGTTGAGAACCACTGGGTTAAAACCTTGTGCTGGCAGTACTGAAGACCAACAGGTCATGGGGAGAGCGCGGATGAGCTCCCTCTGTCAGCTCCAGCTCCCAATGTGGGAACATAAGAGAAGCCTCCCACAAGGATGGTAAAACAACAAAACATCCTTGCAGACAACCAATTCTCTCACACTAAAAGCAACCTGCAGTTTCTCAAGTCAATCCTGACACAGAAAAAAGGCCAGCCCTCAGTCCAATCTACTGGTGAGATCCTGACACAGTGGCAGATGTATGTATTCTCTATGTGGAATTCATCTTAGGATCATCTAAGATGCTAAACAAAATAAATACATAAATAGCAAAAAAAAGCTCTCTACCTCTGAGGATGCTTGCCATAGATGCAGGTGACACGTCAGGAGAGAATGCCTCTAGAACATGGCCATATAGCCCGAAAAAACCCGAAAAAACCTACAACAACCCAGCAAAAAAGCTGATGGAACAGTATACAGTTTGGGGGGGGGGATGTAATGGAAACTCTTAAATCTGCAATAGTGTAAAGTTTTAATGTGGTTCTGTTTCAAAATAAAACCTTGTGCCATTTGTTTGGGGATCAAGAAGTTCAAACAGTACTGACCTTTCCTAAAGGGTTACTGCTGTTTTGTAATATTCAGAGATTCTGTTTCAGGATCACAAGACATAAAGGAAGCCTGTACTACATTTGAGACTGAGAAAAATATAGTTTCCATGGAGTCACAGTCCACTTTCTTAGATGCACTAAGGAAAGGGACAGGGAAGAGGAGTGTGAATAGTTATAGAAATGCAGAATGCATGAGTAGGTTGATGAGTGTGACAAGTTTAGTTAAGAAGTCATAAAAAGTATTTCTTGGGAGAAGAGCAAGTTTTGCATACAAGCCAAGATAAACGTGTAAGCGTATCAACAGTGCATTGTGTTATTGGTTTTGTATATTTAACAACATCATTAACATCTTATTGTTAGGAACTGTGTGTCTTTACCAATG